AACACAGATGTGCTAAGATGTCTGCTTTATTAAATTGGAACTTTAAGGTTCATTTTGCCTTGGACTCTGATTTAATTCTACATGATACTTGGAACACTGACACGCTGCCTGCTTGGAATATTTGATCTCCTCCAGGATCTGCCCTTAAGTGGACATTCTCTAAGCAAAGGCCACCTGTGATAGAAATTCTAGGAACTGGATCTCCCCAAAAGATGCTTTTGCAGAAGGCCACTGGACTTTCTTGGCGTTTTCTGTTTCTCGTTGAAAACGTTTCGCTTTTCATTTCACTTTTCATTCTCAAGGAACTGAAGACATTTCTTTGAGTTGTGAGCCGCCCTGAGTCCCTTCAGGGAAAAGGGCGGCATACAAATAAATTAAAATGAAAAATGAAAATGAAATGAGAAGTGAAACGTTTTCCAGAGAAAACAAAGGAAGTCCAGTGGCCTTTTGCAAAAGCTCCCTTGGGACAACCATAATGATGGAGAATCTCTATAAAGATCCAGGAATTGGATTCCAACCCAGCTGGTGAGCAGCTGGTCTCAGAAGACGCATCAACAGCAGCCTATCCAAACTTTAAATAGGACGGTGGGACTTACTCTCAAGGAAGTCTCTAAAGTTACAACATCCGCTCCTTCATGGCCACCATGAAGACCTTCTACATCTGCTCCAGTTAGTTGCCGCTTTATTTCTCCGCTGCTTTATACCCAACTAGCGATCACTTCAAGCTAGCCAAGCTAACACTTTCCATCTTCCAAATTATTATTTTCAACATGTCTCCTGGGAAGATGGACAGCTGGCAGAAGGGGAGAGGGAAAAGGTGGGTAGGTGACAATATGGCCGAATGGGGATGACGCTGAACTTCTGCACCCTCAGATCAGTGTGTGTGGGGGATTGTTTCTAGCTCAGCAGGCGGCCGCCACGTGACCAATCTCTTTTTCCTTAAGAAGAATCTGCGAATGCTGCCCAGGAAGACAATAATAATTCTGGTTCTCTCCTATTCTTGTCCAACTTTCCGATTCTTGCCAAACTCTGCTGCCATGCCCCCGTCAGAGCCTGAATCTGCGGAGGAAGACGAGCCGGAAGTGGAGCCGACGGACATCCAGGGGGAGGCTTCGTTGGCTTGGGAGGAAAGTCCCCCTGCGCTTTCAGGATTGGAATGGCTTGTAGGCAGGAAGGAAGAGGGGGCAGGATGACCAAGAGAGGCTAAGCAGTGAAAATGAGAGACAGAGCCCAGGCGAGGAGCAAGGACCACCCACTCCTGATCCTTAGGCATGGAGAGTGGAGAGAAGGCAGGAACAGTGCAGGCTGACCCGACTACTTGGGAGGAGAGTGTCCCGCCCCTCTTCACAAGGCACGCCTGGGGACTGAGATTTAGGGAGACACTTTGGGGGGGGGGGACATTTGTTGGGAACAAACACCAAATTCAGGGAGTGTTGAGTGGACTTTCCTAGATTCCTTGCATTCTTTCTGGATTTCTGGATTACTTTCCTTGGACCTTTGCTTCCTGGACTCATCAATTTGCCCTGCTGGATTTCTTGCTTTGCAGCCATGGTGCTCACAGCATTGGGCTGGACCATTTGCAGCCAGAGGCTTCTTGAGGCGTGTGTGTTTGTTTGTGTGTGTGTGTGAGACAGAGAGAGGGGGGATCACTTTGCTCTGGGACTTGCTAGAAACATGGGAGCGTTTGGGGAAATTTGGAGCAATAAGGGGGTGGTTTGAACTGCCAGCTGCAATAGCAATAGCAGTTAGACTTATATACCGCTTCATAGGGCTTTCAGCCCTCTCTAAGCGGTTTACAGAGTCAGCATATTGCCCCCACNGCCCCTTGCCATAGAGTTTCCTCCTGATGTGCCTTCCTTCCCCCTCAAAACCAGAAGCTCCTCTCAAAATTATGCTGCCAACTGGTGACAGGGAGCCTCAGCAGAGGGATGAAAGAGCCACATGCGGCTCCAGAGCCGCAGGTTGCTGATATCTGATCTAGGGCAAACCTGAATTCTATTTTACCTTATCCCGGAGATCTTCTGCATGACGGATCTCTTCCTGGAGATTAAAGATCTTATTGACCAACTCTTGGCGATCCTCAAGCGCTTCTTTGCGGTCGTGTTCTAGGATATCCAAAATGGCTTTGTCGGAATCTGGCAATCTGGGCTTCCCAGCCTGTAGTAAAGAAACGGGGACAGATGGAGAGCGAGTAGGAAGGGGAAAGAGCGATGTGGACAGATTAAAAAAGTGGAAGATTTTCTAATTTCAGATGCCCTCGGCGCAATAAAAAATGAAAAGAAATAAACCATAATTGCAGGTCAATGTTTTGGACCAGCGCTCACCAACTGGAGGTCCGCGAGAAAATTTTGGTGGTCTGCAGAAAAGTTATTTGCATTTTTTTATATTGCACTAAATACTATTTATCTTTTTTTCAAAAAAAAATCATATTCGTGGTCCAGGGGATTTAAAATTATGAATGTAGTGATCCTCGTCGTCCAAAAGGTTGGTGACCCCTGGTTTAGATCTAAGTTTTCTGCTGATCTTTCATTTGCATCCTAAGTTTGCAAACTCGGTTGGGATGAGCAAAGTGACAATGTTAGTAGCGATCAATCTGCATTCCCCCCCCTTTTGTTTTCCAGGACATTTCTGAATTAGACACTGTTTCAGACCTGCAATTATATTCCTTTTAGAATTTTGGCCTGCCACACTTTCTCTTATTTCAATATGCTGTTTCATTAGAGGGGGGAATAAATAGGAGTAGGATTGTGGAATGTATTGTTTTCATTCTTTATTAGAAGCCAAGGTCATCTTTTGTCTCCGCACTTTTACACCTGACCGGAAGNGTGAGATTTGAACTGCCGAACTGCAGATAACAGTCAGCTGAAGTGGGCTGCAGTACAGCACTCTAACCACTGTGCCACCTCGGCTCCATCGGCTCCATAGCTGTTGTTGCAACATTCAAAAAATGTACGTGTTTGCATCACATCCACAATTACATTTCAGTGAATTGCAAAGAAACGCTGAAAGAACAATGACTGAATTGAAAAAAAATTATCAGACTTGCTGGGTTTGTCAGATTGCATCATGTTTTGCTGTTAAATCAACACTTTTGGGACTGTTGCTTTTGAGTATAATCAACAATGCATCCAAATTTGCAGTAAGTGTAAAACACGTTGATTAAATTTGGCAATGCGTATTGTTAGAATCTTTTTAGTGAACATCTTGAACTTTTAGATTACTGTCAGATGTCAGTGTGATATATCTCAAGCTAGCTTTCTTATTAACCCTCAAATTATAAACGGCATTGTTATGAGGAAAATTTTAAATTTTACTGCAAAAAAACCCCATCAAAATGCAAAATAAAAAGAATATGATGTTTGTGCCAAAGTTTTGAATGATAATTTTAAATCAGGATGTTTCTTCCTATTTGTGGACCAATCGTGAACTTAAAAAAAATTGCAATGTTTTAGGCAATGTTTTAAGAGGGATCATTCCAAAGCACTAGTACTTTCTTCATTCAGAGAAATTCAAGTCACTTGCAAAATATTATAAAACTGATACTGAAGCAGAACTGGGATTGTTTCTAGACGTTCTAAAGATGTATGCATCGGTGAGAAAAGTAAAAATTACTGCAACAAATATCAAATCAAGTATTTACTGAAACAATTAAAAACAACATTTAAATGGATTCTATTGATTGTATGTTATTTTTATCTCTATACATCAGTGGTGGGTGCCAGATCCCATTCCAACTGGCACGGCGTCACCCACATGGATGCGCGCTGTGCGTGCATGCATCATAACTGCCTGTGATGCTTCCGCAAACCTCTGTGACGCTCCAGCTGCTCGGCGGAGCATTGCACATGTGCCGTAAGTGTTATGCACATGCGCAGAAGCCCCGAAGGCTTAAGGGACAGGTAAGGAGCTCGGGCGGGTAGTGGGCCCTAGCAATAGCAATAGCAATAGCAGTTAGATTTACATACCGCGTCATAGGGCTTTCAGCCCTCTCTAAGTGGTTTACAGAGTCAGCATATCGCCCCCACAGTCTGGCTCCTCATTTCACCCACCTCGGAGGGATGGAAGGCTGAGTCAACCTTGAGCCGGTGAGATTAGAACCGCTGAACTGCAGATAACAGTCAGCTGAAGTCAAGTGGCCTGCAGTACTGCACCCTAACCACTGCGCCACCTCGGTCCCTGGTGGACCATTATTTTATTTACAATGATTTAAGCTGTCCTCATCCTTCCAGCAAGAAAAACCAAGGAAATATGCAACCAAGAAAATGATCCACG